GAAGATCCTGCCACCAGCAGCACAGCTGGTCTGTCAGGAAAAGGTTCTTCCCCCAGAGGGTGGTGGGCACTGACCAGGCTCCCCAGGGCAGTGGGCACAGCCCCAAGGCTGCCAGAGCTCCAGGAGAGTTTGGACAACGCTCTGAGGGACAGGGGGGAGCGTTGGGGTGTCCTGGGCAGGGCCAGGGATTGGACTGGATGAGCCTTGGGGGTCCCTTCCAGCTCAGGACATTCCATGATTCTGTGATTCTAAGTGAGCTTGTGACTCAGGGGAAGGTTTTTGCTGCCCTGGCAGAGCCAGAGTTGGTTCAGGTTGGGGTCCAGTGCCAGCAGAAGCTCTCTGGGAGCTGTGCCCTGTCCCTGTGCAGCCCTCAGACCCATCACCCAGTCACCACCGGCTCGGAGGCTGAGCTTTATAAAACTAGAGTTGCCCCAGGGGGGTTGGAAGGGCTCACCCTCCCACTTTGACCAGAATTTCGTGTGGGATGTGTGTCCCTGATCCAACCAGCACCTTCCCAAAACCCAGCTGATTTTCCCATGCAGGGTCTGGGTCCCAAACTTCCCTGAATTTGCAGCCCTTCTCTATTTAAAAAGTCCTCCGAAATCCTTTCCTCCTCCTCCTTCCCCCGCAGGGTCTCAGGGGAGCCCAGCACGGTGTTCCCGTGCTCACGGAGCCAGCACAGCCCGGCTCTGCAGGGGCTGCTCCCGGGGGCCCCAGGGGAGCCCAGCACGGTGTTCCCGTGCTCACAGAGCCAGCACAGCCCGGCTCTGCAGGGGCTGCTCCCGGGGCTCTCAGCACACCCACGGCCCGGTCCGTGCCTGCGGCAGCCGCTGTTTGTCTCCTGCAGGCAGAACGGGGCTGCCAATTGTGCCTCGTTCAAGGTGCCTGTCCTCCCTCCCTCCCTCCCTCCCTCCCTGCCCGCGCAGGTTCCCAGCCCAGCCCCGCTCCAGCTGCTGCCCAGAAAGAGCCTTTTTGTTCGGCTCAGCCTCCACCGGCGCGATGCCTTCACTCCCAGGGAAACAGAAGGGCTGCCTTGACACGGGCAGCCCCAGAAGGGTTGGGATGCTGGAGGGAAGGCCCTGGAAGGCAGCGCGGAGGATGCTCGAGGGCTGGACGGGAGCCACGGCCCGTTCCTGGCAGCACAAAGAGCGCGGAGCGGCCCCGGGATCTGCTGACGGACACGAACCCTCTGACACGGCGAGATGGAGCCGCATCTCAAAGCCTGAGCGCCGAGGAGGCAGAGCAGGGCGAGAGTGGGGATGGACACGTCCTGCAGGTGTTCGGCCAGTGTCCCCCCATTTGCATACATTTGCATACTGTCAAACAGTTGCCTGACAGACTCTCTGAGAAGGTCTGGACTGAGCCCAAACCTGTCAGGGACTTTCTCCTTGCCAGTCAAGGTTGGCTTTGGTTGCAATTAGAGAGAGGAAAGAAATACTTCTGACATTGCCACGTAGGAAGCTGTGGATGGGGTGAGTTTAAACTGAAATGCACAGTTTCTTCAGGGAAAAAAAGCCCTCTGTGGGGTTTTATGCCAGGCCTGGAGGGGAAAAAAAATGGGGAGAAAAAAGAATCTGCCTCTTTGGTGTAGAGGAAAACATGTTTTACTCCACTTGCCAGCCATCGCTCCCTGTGCTTCCAGCTCACGGAGAGCCACGGCCAAGGGGGAGCTTCCAGGGATATGAAACAATAAATAATGAGACATGGACTTGGCAGTGATCTACCTGCCCAGGCAGCACACCTGGCCAGGGCCCTGGGACCAGGAATTCCTGGGGTGGTGCTCCCGAGCCACGGGGGCAGTCGGGGTGGAAGATGCTCCCCGGGCTGGGGGCAGAGAACGAGGGGGACCCGAGTGCTTAGCAACCCCAGACAATGGCAAGGCATGGAAATACCTCATATTTACCAAAGGAAAAAACCAGAAGGGACAATGAGGAAATGTTTTGGAAGCTCACACCCCCTTTGACTTGTTGTTTTACATATTCTTCCCTCAGCCGTGAAAATTTCATACTTCATCTTTCCCCGGCGGTGGACACTAGAGTTTCACGAGCAGGGGACAATAGGTTCTGTTTATTCCCCCACAATAAAGAGCCTGTTTAACTCTGGACTGCAAGTGGCTGAGCCATCTGGCCCATATCTTCACAGTAAAACATTGTCCGTGACACAAAAAATGATTACATCCCCAGGACAAACTAATGTGACCTCTAAATAAAGCCTTCCTCTGAAGCTATGATATCATACTGCGGAGGGGACACCGGCACAATGGAATCTGCTCGCCCAGAGCACAAGTGAGATAGGACTATTTAAATCCAATTTTACAGGAGACTTTTTGTCCTCGGTGGCAAACCACCCAGAGCCGACGACAGCATTGAAACATCTTTTTTTATGCACTCTTAAGGCAACAGAGCGGTTCTGTCTGGCCTTGGCAGCCCTTCCTCGGCTCGCCCCGGGCCCAGGAAGCACCCGGCCATTTCCAGAGCCAGCACCTGCAAGCTTTTCTTCCAACAGGGTTTTACTGACGGGGCACCACCTGCACTGGCCCCCTTCTCCTTCTCTCCCCCCTCCGACTGCGGCCGAACAAGCGCCTCTTTCTGCTCGGTGCCAGGGGGAAGTCCGAGCGTGCCACGGCCTCACAAACCACTGCTGAGCTCCAACGAGGCGCCCTCGGCACGGCTCTACCTGAATGGGGCACCCCAAGGACACCAGAAAGGGCCCCAGTCAAGGGCAGGGACGTCGTGTCCTCAAAGGAGGCGATTTATGGTCCCCGCTGCGATGCTCTGTCACTGCAGCCCTCAGAGAAACGGCCCTAAAGGGGGGTACATCCAGAGAAACGGCCCTAAAGGGGGATACATCCAGAGAAATGGCCTTAAAGGGAGATACATCCAGAAAAACGGCCCTAAAGGGGGATATATCCAGAGAAATGGCCCCAAAGGGGGATACATCCAGAGAAATGGCCTTAAAGGGAGATACATCCAGAAAAACGGCCCTAAAGGGAGATACATCCAGAGGAATGGCCTTAAAGGGGGATACATCCAGAGAAATGGCCCCAAAGGGGGATACATCCAGAGAAACGGCCCCAAAGGGGGATACATCCAGAGAAATGGCCCTAAAGGGGGATACATCCAGAGAAACGGCCCTAAAGGGGGATACATCCAGAGAAACGGCCCCAAAGGGGGATACATCCAGAGAAATGGCCCTAAAGGGGGGTACATCCAGCCAAAGAGGCCAATCCTGTCCCAGGACAATGCTCCCCATGGGTGATCATTGGCAGATTGGTGGGAACTCTCTGCAGAACCCCAAGGACCAGCACGAGCCCGGTGCCCCTTTAATGGAGCTGAATTAAGGGGGGCTGGAGGGGGCTCTGACAGGCACTGGGGTGTCCCTGCAGTGCCCATCCCTGGGACAGGGTCACAGCCAGGGGCTCACAGTCCCTGCCAGCAAAGGGTGGTTGGAGGGGACAGAAATGGGGAGCAATTGCACTTTGCCAGTGAGTTATTCCATTGACACAACCTGGATAAATCTGGGGTTCCCAGGATGGAAAGCAAGGCAGGAAAAGGCTCTTGTTCCTGAGCACTGACAGCACCTGCCTCGAGCAGCAGCTCCTCCTGGCACAGCCCCTGCAGCCAATTCAGAGCTGCAGTGACACTGAAATGAAAATAAAACCAGGACCAAACTGTCTTGCCCAGTTTTATCTTGGCTCTTTGGAACCGAATTCGGGGCCGATTCCAAACTCTCTTTTCAATTCAGCAGAAATTCTTTCGACCACTTTTTACCCACCTTTTTTCCCCCCCCTCAGGCATAAAGTGCCTTTGTATGAGCATTCGTGGCTCAAACACCTGAACACCCAAACTCCATCTTTTCATAGGAAAATACAGTTTGCAAGCCCAAAAGGTAAAATAAAAAAATCAGTCCCCAACACTGAGCTTTCAATGGCAAAGGCTCGTAATCCTCTGTGGAATTACAAACCTTGCACACCAGGGATTAAACTTCTCCTTACACAGACCATTAAATGGAGCTGCACTTTTGGTGTGGAGCTTCTGTTCCCCACGTAGGATTCCAGGCCTCTCAACCACATCACACCTGGCATTAAAAATCTCACAAGACTCCTTGAATCCCGGAAAACTACCCAGAAAAAATACTGCAAGAGGTTTTCCTGGGGTGCAGGGACAGTGACAGTGCTCTGGGACCTGCAGGGAGCTCTCACTGAGGCTTTTTGGGGGTTGGATGGATTGATCTCTCAAGGCAAGGACACAGTTCCCACCAAAAAGCAAATATTCAAACACATCCCAAACTCAACCACTTCATACATATATATATATATATACACACATAAAATGGTTATCAGGTTGGAAGAAGACTATTCCAGGCCAAGTGTTTGCTTCTCAGCAGAAAAATACATTGGAATTTAAAATCCCATAGGATAGAGCAAGTTCTTTTTTTTCTTTTTTTTTTTTAAAGTAAGTAGGAGGTAGATTGTTTTGACAGAAAAAAGGCACCTTTTGCTGTCTCTTTGCTTTCTTCTTCCTTTTCCTGTATTGAAACAGAGATTTAAATACCTTCTTCCACCATCTCAAAGATTATCCAGCAGGAAAAGTCCCTGGAGAAAGGACAGAGCTCCCCAAAGGCAACTTTTTTGTTGTTGTTGTTTCTTCAAATTTGTTTCGTTTCAGCTCTTCCCTTTCTGTTTCTGTCGCTTGTTTTAATCCCTCTGAGCTGTAACCTGAACTAATTTGAGCCCTGCATCTCCTGTGTGTTACCCAAATTCTGCAGGAGCTCCCATCACCTCGGAAATTAGCACAACATTTGCATACAAACGAATAAAGCAGGGAAGGGGGAAGTTTGATTCCTGTAAGATGATGAACAGCTGGGATGGAGTGAATTCCCTCCCAGACTCCATCTCCAGCCAGTCAATGTTGTGGATTCATCACACCTGGGCCACCAAGGAGGGAATCCTGGAATGGTTTGGGTTGGAAGGGACCTTAAAGACCAACCAGTTCCAGCCAACCCTGGACACCTTCCACCATCCCAGGATGCTCCAGGCTCTGTCCAAGCTGGCCTGGAACACTTGCAGGGGTGGGAGATGCATCTCACACCACAACAGGTTCCCCAGGGGGAGAGGAACCCCTTGTGAACATTCCCAAAGCTCTCCAGGAGTGTCCCTGCTCCCTGTGCCCACCTGGGAAGGAACCAACGGGATGGAGCCACTGCAGAGCTCCTGGAGAGGGCAAGGACAGGGATCCAGCTGCTCAAATCCAAGTCAGGCCGCCTCTAACTTCCCTCCTTCCTTAAAAAAGGTATTTTAAGAAGTTATTTTTGTTGCCTTCAGCTTCGGGAAAGTGATTTTGTCAGTGCAACAGAAATGAAATTTCAAAATATTCGAAACTCCAATTCAAAATTTCAATTCAGAAATTTCAAACCATTAAACTCCAAACCCACACCTAAGTTTGTCCCGTTTTTGTGCAGGCAATTCTCCACTGGAAAGGGGCTGGAGTTGGCTCTGCAGGGCCTGGAGTGGGCAGGGGATAACTTGGAGGGTCTTTAGCAGGGTCTCAGAAGAGACAGGGACAGAGAAAATGCAGGAAAACAGAGAAATCCTGCACACTGTGGGTACTTGGTGGGTCACCACCTGAACAAAGCTGCTCCCTTGGACATGAACTGTTGGGTTTTCCCTGCAGGGCAAGGAAACATCAGCCTGACCCTCTAATGTCCCATTTCTGCAGGTAAGGGGAGGGTGAAAGCCAAGGTAATAGTGGGGACTCCAGAGGCTGTTTCTGTTCACTGGAAGGAGCTCCAACCCCCACCAGCAGTGTGACTGTAACTCAGCCCCCAAATTCCCCCTGCAGAGCCCCCGGGAGCTCTGAGTGCTCCTGGTGATGGGCACTGAAACCTGGCAGCCAAATTTCTCTGTTACCCACGTGGATCACAGAAAGAGAAGTGTCAAAGGAGAGAATTGTTAATCTGCTGGTTGGGTGGGTTCTCCAAGGGCTGCCCTGGGCACCCAGTCCCCACCACTGGGCTCTCCTGGCTTCTGAGACCTGGGCTGCAGCTTTAGCTTGGGCACAGCACCAATGTCCCAGGTCAGAGGGTTTGGGGGTGACTCTGGGGGTGACTCTGGGGGTGCTGGATGAGCCCGAGGGTCTCTCCAGCCTCGCTGATTCCCTGTGACCCCTCAGCTGCAGTGCCCAAGGGTGGCTCAGTGTGGTCAAACCACTGAACTCACTGCTGGGCTCTCACTCCTCACCTGCCCCCTGCACTGGCTGATGGCCCAGGATCCCTTGGGATGGAGCCCTGCAGGAAAAACACGGGCCCCTTTCCCGGGAGGAACAGCAGCAAGTGCTGAGAGCAGGGTGGGGAAGCTGAGCTGGACTCTGCTCCTTGGGAAATACCAACTATTCCTGTTCCTGAGGGAACAGAAGGAGACCAGTTTGTGTCTTCTTGCAGCCTTCAGCTGTGGGAGATCCCGCTGGAGCTCCAGAAAGCTGCTCACAGGGACGAGTTTTGCAGCTTCAGGGGTCAGTGGCTGCTCATGAGGACGAGGAGTGTTGGCCTGAGCAGACTCTCAGCACCACTGTGCTGGTCAGCTCTGGGGCTGACTTCCCCAGTTGTGACCTGTTTCTGGCAGGAATGTGCCCCTTTACACTTCCACCAACCTGTTTATTTCCATTTTAGTCAGATGCTCCTTGCCCTTGATCCCACCACAGTTTCAAAATAGAACAGACAAATATTAAACCTTCCGTTTCTTCGGCTTTATTTACAGACCTTTCCCTTTCTTTTCACTTGTCACCACAACTCCGTAAAACACCTTCCCAACTGATTTCCCCTTGATAATTTCTGGTGGTTTCAGCTCCCTCCAACCAGAAAAATCCTCTGACTTCCACTGATCTGAATCTAAAACAGCATTACTTGCCTCTAGATATGTCCATTTAATATATCCAATACAAGCAGCCAACTGCTGTTCTCAAAAGACTATCTGACAGATTCTATTCACTTTCAAAGTAGCTCTCCATGGTTTGAATAATTATCTTTCATTTCCCCCTTTCTGACACTTTTCAATGATTTGTTGACATCTGAAGAGATATGTGCAATCTCACAAGAGGCAGCTGGACTTTCCACCCAAAAGATACAAATACAAAAAGGATTCCCATACAGAATTTGAAATAACGATGTTCTTTGCAAATGGAAGACTAAATCTGCATTTTAATGGGACATGTTTTTAAAAAGCGGAATTCATGAATAACCCTATGAGTTTTAACTTTTTCACTGCCAGGGACGAATCTGAGCCACCCCTGGGAGGAAATCCTACCTTCCCTTTGTCCACTTTGCTTTCCCAGCTGCAGTGGCTGGAGCTTTCCTGCAGCACCTTCCCTGCCCTCCTGACAGAAAGCTGAGGATGCAGCTCCTGGGGCTGGAATTCAGGTTCTTTATCAGCGACCCAGGACTGGAAAACAAGCAGCCAAAATCACACGAAGCCCACAACTAAATAATATATCTATGGAGCTACCCAGTAATATATCCATGGAGTTATCCAAGCCCTGCTCCAGGGGTGTATGGGCACTGCCCAAACCCAGCAGGATTTATCCTCACACCAGCTGTGGGAATTCTGGTGTCCATTTTGCAGGTGGAAAACAGAGGGGGCAAGAGGGGAGGATTCAGTGCTTCACCCAGGACCACACCACAAGCCAAAATCTGGTGTCTGTTTGTGCTTCTGTTACTGGATGCTTTCCCCATTCCTGGATGCTTTCCCCATTTTTGGATACTTCACCAATTCCTTGGTTGTGCTTTGCCTGCAGAACTATTTTTCTTGCTTCTGCTGGATGTGTTAAAATGTCCCTGTTAACAAAGGGCTTCGTCCCTCCTCTCTCCTGAGCAGAGCATTGGAAACAGAGCACTGAGCAACAAGTTCTGGGTTTTGTTCTCAAGTTATGAAATGGTGTGTTTATTCTCTTTGACTCATAAAATCACAGATGGTTTGGGTTGGAAGGGACCTCAAAGCCCATCCAGTGCCACCCCCTGCCATGGGCAGGGACACCTTCCACCAGCCCAGGCTTCTCCAAGCCCCGTCCAACCTGGCCTTGGACACTTCCAGGGATCCAGGGGCAGCCACAGCTTCTCTGGGCAACCTGGGCCAGGGCCTCCCCACCCTCCCAGCCAGGAATTCCTTCCCAATATCCCATCTATCCCTGCCCTCTGCCAGTTTGAAGCCATTCCCTGTGTCCTGTCCCTCCATCCCTTGTCCCCAGTCCCTCTCCAGCTCTCCTGGAGCCCCTTTAGGCCCTGCAAGGGGCTCTCAGGTCTCCCTGGAGCCTTATCCTCTCCAGGTGAACCCCCCCAGCTCTCCCAGCCCCCCCAGTCTGGGCTGTGTCCCAGGATGCTGCAGGAGGATGTTCTGGGTACCAGGATGCTGGAGGGGGTGCTCTGTATCCCGGATTTTGGGAAGGGAATGCCCTATGTCCCAGGATTTTGGGGGGGCAGTGGGGGGTCTCTATGTCCCGATGTTTTGGGGGGGGTGTTCTATGGGGGGGGTGCCCCATGTGCCAGGATTTTGGGGTGGGGGGCTGCTCTATGTCCCCATATTTTGGGGGGATGCCCTACATCCCGGGATTCTGAGGGGGTGCTCTATGACCCCGTATTTTGGGGGGATACCCTATGTCCCAGTATTTTGGGGGGGGGGCTGCTCTATGTCTCGGTATTTTGGGGGGATGCCCTACGTCCCGGGATTTTGGGGGGTTTCCATGACCCCATATTTTGGGGGGGATGCCCTATGCCCCGGGATTTTGGGGGGTGTCTATGACCCCGTGTTTTGGGGGGGATTCCCTATGTCCCAGGATTTTGGGAGGGTGCTCTGTGACCCCGTATTTTGGATGGGAGGATCCCCTATATCCGGTATTTTGGGAGGGCTGCTCTATGTCCCCATATTTTGGGAGGGATGCCCTATGTCCCGGGATTTTGGGGGATGCCCTATGTCCCGGGATTTTGGAGGGTGCTCCATGATCCTGTATTTTGGGGGGATGCCCTATGTCCCGGGATTTTGGGGGATACCCTATGTCCGGGATTTTTGGGGGGTGCTCTATGACCCCGTATTTTGGGGGAGATGCCCCATGTTCCGGGATTTTGGGGGGGGCTCCTCTGTGACCCGGTGTTTGGGGGGCTCTCGGTGTCCCCCCGCTCCCGGAGCCCCCCGGCGCCCTCTGCGGGCCCCTCGCCGCCACTGCCCGGGGAGCTGCGGCCGCTCCCGGCGGGACGGGACGGGACCGACGGGACCCCTTCCCCTCCTCTGCGCTCCCCTCCGCTCCCCTTTGCTTCCCCGCGCCCCCTCCGCCCCCCTCTGCCCCCTCCTCGGCACCTTTCCCGGTGTTCTCCGCTTCCCATCCGTGCGGGAAAAACGGACTTACAAAGGAAAGGATAAGGGCAGACACGTCCTGCCTGAACACAGCAGAGGTAAAACCCCGCGCTGACAATTTCTTGCGGGGATCTGGTTTAAAATAAATCGATTTTTCAGGTAGTAACAGTAAGTTATACAATGGCAGCGTTCAGCTGTAGGTACCACAGACTTCAATTCCTGATCAGTCAGTGCACGTTCTGAAAACAACACGGTTTGAGAGCAAAATCCCGATGTGGGAGAGCCCAGAAACGCCCCGTGTGTTCCTGGCAGGTGTCACCTGTCCAAAATCACAGGGAGCACTTCAAGGACGGTGCTTTCACCCCAATCTGCCCACGCTGTGTCCATCAAACACTTTTGCCAAAGGCTTTGTTTTGGAGACCCTCCGGCTCCTCCTGGAGATCACAGAGGCACGGGATCATCAGGGCTGGGAGAGCCCTCCAGGATCATCCAGTGCCACCCCGGCACCACCAGGATCACCCCTGATCCATGTCCCCAAGGGCCACATCCAGATTCCTCTGGGACACTCCCAGACACAGGGACTCCACCACCTCCCTGGGACACTTATTCCAAGGCCTGACCACTCTGACAGGGAAAAATTGTTTCTAATCTCCAACCTGAACCTTCCCTGGTGCAGTTTGAGGCCGTTCCCTCTCCTCCTGTCCCTTGTTCCCTGGCAGCAGAGCCCGACCCCCCCCGGCTCCCCCCTCCTGTCAGGGGGTTGCAGAGCCAGAAGGTCCCCCCTGAGCCTCCTTTTCTCCAGGCTGAGCCCCCCCAGCTCCCTCAGCTGCTCCCCACAGGACATGTTTTCTAGACCTCCCCCAGCCCCGTTGCCCTTCCCTGGGCACAAGGAAGATGCTTCTTGCTCCAGCAGAAGATGTGAGACTTTGCCTCTCCATCTCTGCAGCTGTGGCCTCGGCCTTGGCCCATCAGGGACAGAGCCAGTGCAGACCCCAGGGCACCCTGACCCCAGCCTGCCCCCCTGCCTGCCCTGTCTGCAGCTCAGCCCCAGCTCCTGAGGAACAGCCGTGGCAGAACCAGGGTTGTTTGGCCCACGTGGCCCTCTGGAGCCACTGACCCATCTCTGTGTTATTGTGACACTGGGAATTTTCCCTGCAGGAGTGGTCAGGCCTTGGAATCAGAGTCCCAGGGAGGTGGTGGAGTCCCTGTGTCTGGGAGCGTTCCAGAGGTGTCTGGATGTGGCCCTTGGGGACACAGATTAGGGGTGATCCTGGTGGGATTGGATGATCCTGAAGGTCTCTTCCAACCCTGATAATTCCATGATTCCATAACTAGCAAGGACCACTGCCCGTTTTCCTTCCTGTCTTCCCTCAGCCCCCAGCAACTGCAAAGGAACCAGTTACCCTCTGTCACCCCCAGTAACTGGGGACGGGCTGAAAGTTCTCGTGCTGCTTTTCCAAATCCTCTGTCAAACTTCGTGCTAACACTTCGGGAACACGGTGCCCTGCTCTAATTGACGAGGTGGTGAGTGGTCACAGGTTGGATTCGATGATCTCAGAGGTCTTTTCCAGCATAAATAATTCCCTGATTCTATAACATTTCTCAGAGAGTCGATGTCCTGCTGCTGTGGAGCAAAACCCAATTCTCACCGTGACACGACAGGAGCCCAAACAGTGTAAAAATGCTTTTATTGCGCCTCATTTTCCCTCTGTCTGGGCCTCATTACTGTGTGGTAGCTCGTTTCACACAAGCTGGTTTCCAGAAAAACAAGAGGACCTGTGGTGTCTGCACCGGGAGGATCCCCCAGAGAGCACGAAATCTCCAGCGGAGAACGAGGTGGGTTCTTGTTAAGCTCTGGAAATAGGCTGGAATGTAAATGTGTGTTCTTTCTGCCACATGCCTAATTGCCCATAAATGTCATTAAGTCGAGAAATGTTTTCCACCAAATTAACTTTGACTCGTGGTGTCTAATTAGCCGGAGATGCTGAAAGATAACAACTTATCAGTCACTGTTTAACAAAACATCCTTAATGGGGGACTTTTTTGCGAGCAGCCGTGTTGAGCCAGGTATTGGAGCTGTCAAAACGGAGCATTATCGGAGCAATTAAGGACAATACCCCGGTGCAGCTCCCTACCAGGATAATTTGACAGCTTGTTCACAGGCAAGAAGTGCAGTTGAGCCGAAACTTTCCGTGAATTGGGTTTCCAGCGCGCAGAAGCGACCAGAAATTCTGCTTTTTTTTTTTTTCTTTTTTCATTCCCTTCCCAGAGCGTGGGATGTGCAAACCCCCCTGACACGGCTCTTTCCTCGCTCACCTCCAACCAAGGTCTCCAGAAGCAAAGGCTTTTCCATGGAAGTTGTCACAGGGTGGTGTTCAGCCCTTCAAAGGAAAGGAAGGGATGGGTAAATCCTCGTGTTTTACGGGTGAAATTTGGGGCTGTGGGCACGGTTTTCACCTTTTCCAGGGTGTTTATGAGGGGATGTCACCGAGGACGAAAAGCCTGAGTTCGCAGTGCATCATCTAGAATATATTCAATACTTTTATACTGCAAAATGGAAACCTGGCGAGATAAAAAATAACACCAAGCCCTCAGAATCCCCTTCCTCTTAAATGCAACACCCCTCAAGAGCTTCTGGATTCTCCCCTGCTGAGGTTATTTCACGCGGCTGTTCATCCAAATTCTTCCCTGTGATTTGTGCCCCCTCCCCTTCCTGCTTTTCTCTTTTCTGCCAAATAACTTCCGAGCTTTCTGACTTCTTGCTCGGACCTGGTGGGAACCAGCACAGCCACGAAATCTCCAACTGCTTGTGCACGAGGAGCACCTGGTTCTTAAAACACTTTCCAGTACCTGCAAGATTATCACCCTGACAATCTGCGGGATTATTTTCCAGCAGGAGATTTAACACTGATTTTCACCACTGGCCTCTTACCCCACTGTCCTGGGGGGACAAATTTCTCCCTTCCCTTTTCTCTCCCTCTCCTTCCCTCTCACGTGCTGTGACCCATCCAGATGTTCTCACTCCGCAGTAAAAACTGCCCAACTTCCCCTCCGAAGGGGGATTTTAACCAAATGCCCACTTTTCTCCTTAAATTTTGCGTGGCCTTGCTCAGTTTAACACCTGTTCTAACAGGACGTGGTTTTGCTCAGTTTAATACTTGACCCCACAGGATGTGGGTTTGTTCAGTTTAACACCTGCTCTAACGGGACGTGTTGGAGGAGGAATAGAAATCAAAACTATGCAAGTGGAGGGAGAAATGCATTCGTAATCTCCAGTTAAATTATAATAATTTATATAGTAATCTATATTTATGGTTTGTATAATTTATATAATGATTTATAGAACGTTTTATAGAAATTCTAAAATAATTTACAAGTACAATTTATATATGTGATATGATAATATATTTTATATGTTTTATAACATTTCTATAATAATTTATATTCACAACTTTTATATTTTACATAATAATTCGCATAAATAATATTATTTGTATATTTATGTGTTTTTATAATTTATATAATAACTTATAATGCATATTTGTAATTATTAATTTGAATTAATTACATTTCCTGTAGCCTGGGAGGCGCTGTTGATCTCGACACTGTGAACATTCCTCACGGCCCACTGCACTTGTGCCGCCCCCCAAGGACACGGAATCCCTGCTGTGAAGAAGGTGTTGACCTTCAGAAAAGGCTCCACAGCTCAAGGATGTCAAGGCAGGAACGGATCCCACCCCACAGCGGCCGGGCTGTGACTTGGGACCATTCCTGTCTCCTCCC